CTACACTGTTTTCCTTCACAACAAACCATGCAATTTGATTTACTTGCATCACTCCTGCCACTATATTCTAAACCATCAACTGCTCCATTCTTCATCTTTTGCATGTCATTGCAATTTATGTGTCCTAATCTTCTATGCCAGGTCTCTGCAGTCACTGCCCCCATAGCAACCAACTCTCTAGAGCGTAAATTAAGTTTATACACTCCATTTCTGAGATTTGCATCCGCTACAAGTTCATTCTTGGCATTATAAATGCAGCACTTGTTCGATTCGAAAACTACATTGTTTCCATTTCTAATCAATTCGCTGACAGACAGCAAATTCGTTGTGAGACTTGGTACGCACATAACGTTGCTTATTGTAACTTCGTAATCAAAGCTTGTAGTAATCCTAATGTCTCCTGAACATTTCACTGGTACTTTCGTTTGATTTGCTACAATAATCTCGCGCAAACCCGGTGAGGTCGAAATATTCGTCAACCAATGTTCATTTGCCGTTAAATGGCCACTTGCGCCTGAGTCTATGTAAAAATCTTCTTTACTGAAACTCGCAGTCAGAAATACAGCACTAAAAGCGTTTGTTTGTTTCTTATTTTCTGTATTTTCACTTATTTTGCACTGGTTTTTATAGTGACCGGCCTGTTTACATCGATAACAATAGATCGTTTTTTTATCTTTTACATTGACTTTTGATGACGTTCCATTGTTAGTGTTGCCATATCTCTTTTTATTTTTCTGCCATGCTTTAGCTGCAAAAGCTCCATTCGATTCCGTTTCACTCGAGCCCGGTGGTTCCATATCAATTAGTTTCGTCTTGATGACATCTGCGTTGATAGGAATGCCCGAATGCTCTATGGCCATTATCATTGGGGTATACTTGTCTGGCAAGCCCGCCAGAAGTAATGAACCTACCCACTCATCATTTATATTAAATCCTGTGCCGTTTAATTTTTGCGATGTTTCGATGATCTGCGTTACATATGTCGTCATCGACTCACAATTTTCAAGCCTGATAGATATTAAATGACGTAATAGCGTAATTCTCCTAGAAAACCCGGAATCGTCGAACAATGATTTCAACTTGTCCCATAGTTGTTTTGTCGTAGTCGTACTCTTGATATGAACATATAAAGACGAATCAATAGTTAAAATCAATTTCGCTCTTGCTTTAGCATCTGTTGTAGCAGCTGCTGCGTCCGTTGCCGCCGGCTCTTTCTTAACCTTTTCCGCATAGCCGTCAAGGACAAGCAAATTCTCTGCCGCAAACGCCCACTCGTCGTAGTTTTCTCTGCCCTTAAGTTTTGGCACATTTACTACATAGTTCGAGGATGACATTTTCACCGCACAATATACACTAATACTGGTTAAACTTATTAATTTTTAAATTGAAATTCGTGAGGGCACCATAACCTCTAAGTAAAACACAGTGTATCCAGCGAGTGAATGAATGATTTTTATTTTGAATCTGTAACACATAATTCTCACACCAGGTGGCAGCACATACAACACAATACTCATCTTGACATTAATAAATCCAACAATTATTTTGAATAGAAATCAAAATCTTTATGAATCCGATGTTCACAGACATATTCTGGTTTTACTTAGTTTAGTTTAGTTTTAAACAACGAATGGAAATCGATGTACGTCCTTGAAAGAGGTCAGATGTGTCATAAATACTCTCAGACACGATTTTACGGTCAATTGTATGATTGTTGAAACCGTAGAATTTATGTAAGTTGTGCTTCGTTTTCACCTGTAACTTCGACATAGGCTAATAGGAAGTTTGGCTTGTATTATGCCACGTTGGTTTGTTTTGTTATGACTAGAGATAGTTTACTCTACGCTACCTACTAAAAAAGAGGTTAGAAGATGATTTTAATAGCGTTTATTAATTTATGAGAGGGAAAGAACATTAGGTAGGCAGTTACATTTTTCCTTGTAGAAAGAATTGCGAATAAAATTATATTATAGGTACTAGCTTTTACCCGCGGCTACGCTCGCGTCACAAAATGAGAAAAAGTAGCCTATGTGACATATACCAATACACACAGCACCATCTATACCAATACTTTTGTAGTCCCTCGGGAATATCGTTTTCGATATCGATCGATTTTTCCGGGATAAAAAGTACCCTATTATTTAATCCGGACTTCTAACTTTACGTCTGTAAAAAATCAAAGCAATCGGTTTAGTAGTTACGGCGTGAAGGCGGAACAAACAAACTCACTTTCCGATTTATAATATTAGTAAGGATTCAGTACATAAACTACACAATACTAAGAAACAGAGGTTTGGCTTTTACTGTACAACAGACTCTAAGAAGATTCTCCTCTCATTTAATTACACCACTTGAAAGTCATAATGCCAAACATTACATTACAATCGTAAAATAAATCACAACGCGGTTTGTTCGTACTCCACATCCACATCGATGTTGTTACTTAAAGTTAATAAACGTTTTACATTTATGGTGTTATTGCCACCCTGGCGTGGCGCCAGAGTGTTTTGCTTAGCTCTTTAGCAATGGCGACCAATAATTTTAATGCTGCGCACAATCTTCTCATATTTCTGTATACCGTTTGACCTCTACAACCCTTTAACGCTACTGATTTTCACACCATGATAGTTAAGGTGGATTTAATTACTTATTGACCTTTCTTAGTGGCATTATTTTGCAATAGTTTCGTAAATAATCCATGTGACAGATGAGATATGAATCTTTAGGTGTGTGACGGTTCTAAAAGTGGCAGAACGGCTGATGAATTTTGATGGTCACACGAAAAAAAACTGTTGTATGTACACACGGCTACACATCGAGCTTTACATAACCAGTATAAACTGAACGTTAAATGTGCGGAAAGATGATACGACGCGACACCAGGATAAACTGGTTTTGTATAGATTGATGTGTGGCTGTGTGTACTATTTTTAATTAAAGGATTGTCTTTTAGATTAAATACTCTAGTTAGCAGAATTCTGTGACTTGAACAGATGATAGTTATTAGAGTACAATATTACTATGATACGGTTTTTTTTTATATGATGATGATGCTGTCTACGATGGATCATGTCGTCCCATAAGCAAGCTATTCACTCAGGTCTTGAAGGCATGTTTTACAATTTTTCTCTATAAAACTCTGGAGTTATCCTTTAACTGCCAAAAACCTATTTGTAAAATTTATGACGATCTATGCGCAGACAAAAAAGGAGATGCGAGACCCTTTTTAAAATTGGTCAAGGAAATTGTCTTTTAACGGAAATAGATAAAACGATAGAAACGTTTTCGTAAACTGTTATCTTCTCGTTATACCTATATCTTCCATTAAACATTATTGTACTACTATTAGTACTATGACAATAGTACAGAATAGAACGTTGTACTCCAGTTACGAATAAAAACAGCACATTGTTACTATGACTAAGAAAAACATTATATGACGCATAGAGGAGTCAGTGTCCTGAAAGTTTGTCTGTAAAACACACTTGTGGCGTCGAAATGTCCCGCCGCTTATTATATAGGTTCGTTAAAATGAGGTTCCACTCTGTATGGTTTGTCTGGTAGCTATATTAGAAGGAATATGTTGTATGTAGGTTGGAATGAAAGCTTAGGTTACGATTTTGTACTAATGAGAACCTAGAATTAGGTAACAAAGACAGTTTTGAGATGATTGTATGTAACATAAATGTAGTGTGAAGTTAGTTTTAAAGACTCTGTGTTAAAAGTCTATCAATTTCCAGCAGTTTCTGGAATTTGAATTAAAAATGTGAACCTGTTATGTCATTAAATTATCTATGACTAAGTTTAAATGGCAACATAGTTGTAACTTTGGTTATTCACAGGCGCTAGGCAAATGTCAATGACGTCTACATAATTATGAATCTCCCAGCACAGTAGTATTTTCATAAGAGAAATTTAAAAAACATGAGACCATTTATATAGTTAAAAATCTACACCTAATCTTAAGACATACTCTTACTATCAGACACCTGATTACCTAGAAAAAACTTCGTATATTGAATACATCATTTGCAGTATTTTAATATGTATTTATATTACTTATCTATATCGCATAAAATGCATGTTACAAGCCAGCATATCTCTTATATCTGTTGATATGCGTGACTAAAACTATGTAGGTCTGGGTAAACCATATTATTATCCTTATCTAAACAATTACGTATTCGCTTCGATTTATTAATTAATGTTTAGCATCCATTGATAAATCGGCTGTTAAACGTGTATGGTAATATAAACCACTGTGTTAGCAATGTTAAATTCGGTCATATTATTTATTTACCTTGTATTAAATTAGGTAAAGGTAATACAAGATTTTTTAAATCGATTACTGGGTTTATTCAAATTTTAATTAAGTAACTGAATTGATTTACATTATTATATATCCTCTTATCTGTTGAAACACCGGCTCCCGGTGAAGAGGATCTCAGTGTTAAACATTTTTTAAAGGCAAGCTGTGAAATGTTTCATATTTTATCTGTGGTACTATTTGACAGTTTCGTTTGAATGTTGCCAGTTTCCAAAAATATGTAAGACAATAGACATAATGATTCAATGTTTTCTTACGTGGCAATGCCTGATTGCCTAGATAGCAAAATAAGATATAAGTAGGGAATAATTTTTGATCCGTAGTTTTCACATTACTCCATAATGGGTATAAATAAATTAAAAATTATATTACAGCTTAATGTTATACTAGGAGATATTTTTCCAATTCTATGTATAAAAACGGGAACTTTTTAATGTTCTTGGTGGATGCTGTCTATGTATTGCATCGTCAAACACAGCAAACACAGCAAACAGTGTCTTGAGCACTTGCACTTTATACAGACCGCACTGGATGAAAGACACCAGCATATATCCCCAACATAGAAGTTGTTAGGAACTCTTGAAACATCCCGGTTTCCAATCTTCAATTATGTAATTTATTTCGTGAAATACAACTGTCTAACTGAATTTAATTTTCCCTAATGCTTGGCAAGGCGCGGCCGGTGCCCGGATTGGTGAGTTTAATTATAAAATGGCGGCTTTTGTAAATGTCTGTCCGTCTGTTCACGTGTCGTTTAGCTGTACACGCTTGGATTGGGTGCAATTTTTTTTCTATATTTGTTTTTTGCACTATACAGATTTGCAGATTTGAGGCTTGATTTTAAGCACTAGTTTTTTATGATGACTGATTTCTTTGACTACTAAAACATTAAAATATATTGGCTTATCAGTTAGGCAACCTCTTTTCTATCTATAGATATCATTAGTCTCTTTGTTTTGTTCATAGGCATGTATGTGCTTGCAATTTCCTTTCTTGGATACGGTATTACAAGAAAACACGATACCGATGAATTGGGTTAGATAAACTCATTCAGTTTTATTTTATTTTTTGTAGTCATCGTTTATTTTGCATCTGTTGTTCTTTTTAGTAACAATCCATTGTTATCTGGACTTATTCCAATTATAAAATCGTTAATTATTATTAATGCTCAATTTTTTCAATAATAGAGCACATACTGAGCAATAAGAAGCATTGATAAATATCACAAATCACTTAGTAATAATAAATTAATTGTATTAACTCATTGATAGACGCGGTTATTAGTTGATTCAACTCATTCACGTAGGTAGGTCACAGTACTTAGATAATTTTGTTATTAATTATTGCACTTCAGTACAATGTAGGTAGGGGTGACATTCTTGTTATTTGTATCACTGAAAATTTACAAACTAAATTAAGACTATCTTATTCAAATTGCTTTAATAAATTATTACTCTTTTTGGAGTTAGTTATAAAAGCTGCCTCGTTGGCCGAGTGGTTGCAAGTGCGACTGCCGGGCAAGGGGTCTCGGGTTCGATTCCCGGGTCGGGCAAAGTATTACTGGGTTTTTAAAAATTCACAGTAGTAGCACGGAGTCTGGAATTGTGCCCGGTATATGGCAATAGGCTCACCCTCTATTACATGGGACTCATAACATAAATAGTGAAAAGTGGGTGTTATTTCTGCACCTGTGAAAAGTGCACCTCTGCCTACCCCTTCGGGGATAAAAGGCTTGATGTTATGTTATAAAAGCTTTTAAAAGCTGGCACTATGAAAAGGGGCATATCTGAAAAGGTCTTCTTTTAGCAATTACCTCTTGTTAGCAACCCTACAAGGTATTTAATGCGAGCAAGCGATACCCTAAATAGTTAGACATTGTGCCAAATCGGAGACGTCAAAGTCTCCAATTTGGACTGTATAATATTTTTTTGAATATAATATATTTTCTTCATAACAAGTTGTAGTATAATTCAAGAGATGTAAAGCAACTAAGAATGTCAACCCTAAAATGCACATGCACTGTAAATCGTTGCATGATTTTGATTTATTTTATTTTTGAACAGCTTTAGCATTTGCAAGTAATGTCCATGTTTTGTTCAACAAAGCATATATGTTAGCTTTATTTGTTTTGATATTTTTTAAGAATAAACTATGTTCTTCTTGCATCTACTTTCGGTTTCTGTAAAATCTTTTTATTGTCATTATCCCAACTAGATTGGGACCAGTGTTAAGTTTGAGAATTAATTGTATGATATTTGTATTGTAACTTTCGTGAGACAATTATTATGTTTTCGGCTTCCTCACCTAGTAATTTGACGAGGAACTCGACTAGTTTCAAGCCATACCGAAAACATAATAATTTGTTTAATTGTATGATGTTGAAGTAATAAAGTAACTAGAAACAGAAAGTAAATGGAAGTTCAAAAATGCTCGATGTGTCTTTGGTTTGTTTGACAAGCCTGTTGAATTTTGAGCATAACTGAATCACAACATTGAGTAGAAATATCACCACAATTCACAATTACGAAGCACACTAAACTATGTGTAAGTAGTTATAGTGAAGTTTATTAACAGAAATGCCCATCTCCTTTGTTATAATATTATTGCATATAATATTATTCAGACCTATTGAAGTGGTCAAAGATTTCTTTTTGAGTTTTAAACCGCCTCGTTGGCCGACTGGTCGCAAGTGCGACTGCCGGGCAAGGGGTCTCGGGTTCGATTCCCGGGTCGGGCAAATTAGATTTATTGGGTTTTTAAAAATTCTCAGTGGTAGCACAGAGTCTGGAATTGTGCCCGGTATATGGCAATAGGCTCACCTCCTATTACATGGGACTCATAACATAAAATAATAGTGAAAAGTGGGTGCTACTTCTGTGTGCACCTCTGCCTATCGCTTCGAGGATAAAAGGCGTGATGTTATGTTATGTTTTAAACCAAGTGTGTAATGTAAAATAAGATGAAAATTATTATTGATTGTATAATCTGTGACTTTGCTTCTAAATTCAATCAGTTTTATGCAAAAGGCTTTATAAATTATAAACAAAAAGTCTTTAACAATGATGATGATTCAATTACCTACTCGTAAACAAAATCCAGAGTAATTTGACAAAAAATACTCACTATAACTACTTCCACACACAACACACATGCATGACTCACATCACAATCTTCACTCGAGAACAGAACCTGTTTCATTCAGCCTGTCTGTCCAGGATATGACATGTCTCCGTTCATCCGGCGGTACGCCAAGTACCTCAATGAGAAGGCGCTGTCGTACAGGACTGTGGCCTTTGACTTCTGCAAGGTTAAAAGGGGGTAAGTGTCCTTTAGCATTTGACCTTTGAAGGGTTGTAAAATATTGCCTTTGAAGTTTTGATGTAGTATGTAGAAGAGGATATAAAATAAGCTTTATTACGTTCTAGCAACATTAGATTATTTGTTTTATTAAACTTTAAATAGATAGTGATAAGTTGAACCAAAAATGTCTTGCAAAACGACCCTGTGTCCTGTTACGCAAAACAATAAGTTTGATCATCAGAGTGAACGATTAGTATGTTTTTTTAACCCCTCGAGCGTCCTTATGAGTACCCGGTGGATCATGAGAAAAAATGCTCCATGCTGCTTTCTCTTTTTAAAATCTATTATTAATGTTTTGTTTTTATTTTGACAGTATTTTTTATTTCTATTGTAATGATCCTTGTTTTCATGTGCCAATGGCCATTTCTTTCTTTTTTCTCCAAATGTCACGTGTGCACCCGTTGGATCATAAGGAACGCGGACGCTCGACGGGTTAAAAATCGTTTTCTTTGATATTATCAATTAAGACTTAGAAAACTTAAAAAAAACTTAAACTTACCTAAGGCACAAAATTACTCTTCTAAAGCTACGTAAAGACTAGGGCATGTAAAACCGGAAAGTCATCAAAACCGGTTTTGAACATCGTTTTTTTGGTACCAAAACCGAAAACCGGAGCTAGGTCCGGTTTTATCAAAAAAATCCAATGTAGTTAATTTAAACTGTCAAACACCAAGCGGTCACCGGTGACCGCGACCTATTGTTCTTTAATTGTGTCTATAAAACCGGTACTCGACGAGTTAAAAAAGAAAACCGTTTTTTTAAATACCCACTGAGTCTACAAATAAAACAAATTGTGTGATTCACTTCTTTTACATCCAAACCATAATAATTGTACAGATAACAATGAACTTATAATAGTATAAAAATTATTTAACTGAGATCAAATCAACAACAAATAAGTTTTTGGTATCTTTGGAACCTATTAAGTCTGCTATCAAAAATAATATATTTTAAACAATAATATATTTTAAACATATTATTATAATATGATTCATATTGCACTAAAAAAGAGATCAATAATCAACTGCGGGGTGCAGGCTCGGAGATGTTCGCAGACCCATCAAGAAATATCCAAATAATTACTGATGACACGGGTCCAACTATTTTAAAATCGGAGATATTACGTGACCAGATAACATACCCATATTACCCATCGAGATTCTCAAGCTATTGGAGGAAGTACTTGACCAATTCTTCAACAACATTTACGAAACTGGCATTCTTCCACATGACTGGCTAAAGTCTACGTTCATTACAATACTCAAAAAACAAAATGCAACAAAATATGGAGAGTACCAGATGATGAGTCTAATGAGAGATGTCCTAAAAGTGTTCTTAAACATCATACAGAACAGAATAAGAGTAAAGTGTGACGAACAACTGGGACACAGCCAATTCGGATTTCATTCTGGTGTAGGCACCCGTGAAGCTTTATTCGCCCTCAACGATCTCAGAATCTCCATCTCTTCAAAAATGCAGAGAAATGCAAACGGACGTGCTGATAATATGTTTTATCGACTACGAAAATGCACTTCATTTAGTTAAGCATCAGGCGGGGTAGTGGAGGGAGGCGTGAAAATGGGTGGATGCAGGCTGTGTTCGGTTCGGATACATTTAATGCCTCAATATTAATTATTTTTGTAAGAGTGTTTGAAAAAAATTTGATTAAAACAAAATGTTAATTGTTACTTAATAATGGGAAAACCGGAGCTGAGCTCCGGTTTTGGCTCTCAAAACCGGTTTTCAATAATCGTAAAATTTTGGCCGATTTCCGGTTTTGCGCAAAACCGGAAAACCGGTTTTACATGCCCTAGTAAAGACTGAATACCCATCTTAATAATAACCAGTCACCAATTTTTACTAATAATATTAATTACCATTGTTCCTCAGTAAGGAAGAAGGTTCCCTGCGTATGATGAACGCGGAGAAGCTGCTGAAGACACTGCCGGTGCTGCAGGCGCAGCTGGACGGCCTGCTGGAGTTCGACTGCACTGCTAATGATCTCACTAACGGAGTCATCAACATGTGCTTCATGTTGCTCTTCAGAGATCTCATCAGGTAAACCAGAAAACGTTTTTTTTTTCATGGAATAGGAGGCAAACGAGCATACGGATTACCTGATGGTAAGCGATCAGCGCCGCCCATGGACACCCGCAACACCAGAGGAGACACAGGTGCGTTGCCGGCCTTTTAAAGGTTTGAAGGTCGTATCGATTTGGAAATACCGCCGACGACAGATAATTCCACAGTTTTGCTGTGCGAGGCAGAAAGATGAATGAAACAAGTATGTTCATTAAGCTTAAAATTTAAGTTGAGTAAAATATTCAGTCAAAGGTTTGAATTATTCTCATGAGAAGAGACATTTATTTAAGCTTATTCTGCCAATCATCATCATCAGCCCGCATCCGTCCATTTCTGGACTTAAATCTCTCAATTTGTTATGTGGCGTAGTAATCTGTCATTTATAAGAGTAGTCAGATACTAAATGCAATTAAGTTTTACAGCTTACTCTTACCAGCGTAATTGTTTGACGAGGTAGCTCAACTAGTTTCAAGACAAGTCAGGGCACATAGTCATGTGCCTAGTTCTACATATCAGAAATAAGAAAGAAACTACTTCAGCATTGCGCGACGCTCGCCGCTTTTCAAACAGTAACTTTATGAGTAAAATGAGCAAGCCGTAAGACATAATTTATGTAAAATGCCTCACGAGAGTTAAAATACAGATATAGTCCAGTACTTTGCCATGCACAAGCAATGCCATAACATAATCTTGTAAACATTTCAGATTGTTCGCGTGCTACAATGACGGCATCATCAACTTGCTGGAGAAGTACTTCGACATGAACAAGAAGAACTGCCGCGAGGCTCTCGACCTCTATAAGAAATTCCTCATCAGGATGGATAGGGTCGGAGAGTTCTTGAAGGTAAAACTAAACACGAACAGTAATATATTGTATCACGTCCCTAATTATCGGACTTATAACCGGTGGATCGAGTGCGTTACAATGTATGTGCATTCTCCTTCTGGGAGTCAAAGTCAAAATCATTTATTTCAATTAGACCAGGAATGCACTTTTGAACGATAACAACAAAATTAATTTAGAATAAAATTTTAATTTAGAATGAGCTATTTGCTCATTCCAAAGTGTAGATTCCTATGGAGAAGAACGACTAAGAAACTCCATAGGTTACTCTTTTTCAATCGGGTTTACAATACAGTTCTCTTTACCATTAACATATTAAACGCCATGGGGGACCGGTGACCAACGTTAGCGGAGTATATGTTTTCTATTGACAGTTTGACTGCCAATAGAAAACTGTTGAACCTTAAAAGTGACGCTTTTTTGTAACTATTTTGTACTATTTTGTAAGGTCCTATTTTGAAACGTAGACAAACATAGTTTAGTAGGTACACCCCCTAGCTAACCAGTGGGTGGCATTACTAAGATGTGATCATGACAATAAGTCAACAGAACGCGTACCTTTTCATGTTAAAGTCTAAAGTATTTTGAGTTAAGGTCTAGGTTATAGATATAGATATTGTAATAAAACATTTTTTCCTTGTAAATTATTAGCTACTAATTTTTACTTGCACATAATTTTATAAAAGGTAAGAATAACAACGCAACACAACTAAACGTACAATGTAGTGTAAAATTTTCTTATTAATTCAATTAAGTACAATACTGTTTTTTCGAATGAAATAAATATTAGAAACCCTCAAATATTCGTTTGGAATTTCCTCAATTCCGTGAGAGATATTGTAATTTATATGAATGAAGGTGTGAGCAACATGTTGCGTTACCTACGTCAATACATATACCTACCTAAATACCCATATATGTACCTACATATTGGATGTGTGTACCTATTACAAGTATTGGTTGAAAGGTGGGGCGCCACGTAATTCACTCAGCTTGTTTACAGCACTATAAATAACTAATGACGTGAACAACATTGTAGAAGAAATGTTTATTTGTAAATACACTTTTATTTGTAACAATGTCAAGGTTGGCGAAGCTCTATACAAGTTTTTTTTTTCTATGTACTTTGTAGGAGATGGATAACGAATGCTTTCAGTAATGATAATTCAAAAAGTATACATTCATATATCATTGAATATAATGATTTTTAGAAATGCCACAATTCTATTTTGCTATAATACTTATCAACCTTAATCCCCAGGTGGCAGAGAACGTGGGTATAGACAAGGGTGACATCCCTGACCTGACCAAAGCCCCCAGCAGTCTCCTGGACGCCCTGGAGGGGCACTTGGCCTCACTTGAAGGCAAGAAGGGCTCCGCTGCCAATACTCCCACACAAACCGCTAGGTGAGTGTTGTAAATAGTAGGTCATAGTTGGTAGCTCTTGTTATAAAGCTGTATGATATTGTCTATAGTTTTCAGACTTGTAATGATTCTTGATGCCCTAACTACCCCGAACCAGTTAAACAACAATAATTTCGGAAGGTTAACATTATTTAACCAAACCTTCTCATGACCATTCCAGCGCCCAAAAGAACGTAGCAAGCGTGATGGTCGCTCTATCCTCCACATCGTCATCGTTCGGTAACGCGGCCGCATCCACTCGACTGGACAACCAGCCCAACGGGGCCTCGCCACTCTTCATAGACGATACCCTCAAACAACAGGCCTTGGCTGAGGAGGAGGCCGCTATGAACCAGTATAAGGTAAGAATACTCTTTATTTTAAAACTTGATTTTGACATTTGGAGTTGTAAACCCCAATATCCTACCAATATCGGATTAAATTCAAGATATCTGAACAGGGAACTTGAAAAGGATTGAATGTATTCTATAAAGGAAGGTGGAATATTTTGAACCATTTTGAATTGAAATATGGAAATACTTGACTATTACTTGTTGTAAAAGAGAAGTATTTCAAGGGATTTGCATTCAAAAGTCTGCCTCGTTGGCAAAAAAAAAGTGTGACCGCCGGGAAAGGGGGGTCTCGGGTTCGAATCCCGGGTTGTGCAAAGTACAACTGGGTTTAAAAAAAAACTCAGTGGTAGCGCGGAGTCTGGAATTGTGCCCGATTTATGACAATAGGCTCACCCCCTATTACCTGGGACTCATAACATTAATAGTGAAAAGTGGGTGTTACATTGTACAGTGGCATTAAGTGCCGTAATATGCACCTCTGCCTACTCCTTTGGGGATAAAAATGCGTGATATTCCATTCAAACTATATGGTTGTCTTTATTTGATATTTTCGATACACATACTAAATCTGACAGACTCACTGTCAAAAACGCAGAAATTTTCTGTGCTCTTGAATATATGGAAATGTAAATATGCTTTAAATATTAATTAACACAAAAGCTTAAATAATTTAATGTAAAATAAAATCAGTGATGAAACGACATTCAAGCAACAATAAGTTGTCTAACAACATACTCAAAATATCTTTTAACTTTGATTATTTTACTTACCTAACGCCTAGGGCATTCGAGCGTGGACCACTAAAGGAATATTAGCTAGGTGTAACATCCAATCTGCAGTGAGTTGACATCATAAAGTGATTAATAAAAGGGTTGGAAACCAATCATAATTATCATTAATCTAATATATTTGTAACAGCATGTTAGCACAATACGGATATACATAAAACTGGTGAGAGATAGTATTTATACCCACGTTATTAATGGATAATCTAGGCTTTGTTGGTTTTTTATATAAATGAGAATTAAAAATACTAGCTGCATATAAATTGTGTTAAAGTTCTATCTCTTGTAGTCAAATCTACTGATTAGAGAAATAGAATAGAAGAACTCTAATTTTAATATCTTCAATGTTTTATACAATGAAATATTGTGGCATTTATTTCTTTTAAGAACAGCCCGGTTTATAACCCAGATCACAAAGGTTATTTACTCGCCGAAATTTCGCTTGTGACTTAGTTGTCCGGACGCTAATCAAACATACGAAATCTACTCTTGCTCTTCTTTAAATTAGGTTCAAATTCGATCCTACAACACATCATCATCAACAGCCAAAGGCCTCCCCCTTAGTCCTCCACGTCGAACGACAACTCGCCATCTGCATAGACTGGTTCCCTACAACACAAGATCTACCAATGAATGGCGTACCCCATACCAGCCACAAGTTATGAACCTATAATAGGCTTAACATAAATATTTCAGGTTCGATTATATCAAGGCGAAGAGTGGACAGGCGACGAGGATATATCAGAGATAGTAGTAAGATTCCAGGGTACTATGTGTTGCTTAGGGCACGGGCTTGGGGACTCAGTGTGTCATATCTGCTGTCGCCTTTATCGATATATCATGTCGTTATGGTCAGATGATGAATGTTCTGTGTGTTTGTAGACTTGGCAAAGTTAATTAGGTTTTAGTTTTTCTTTTGGCAAGGTGGCTTGACTAGTTTCAAACCACAACAAGGGCTCATAACAAGCACTATTGCATGTCAAATGACTCAGACTCAACCATTTAAAACTACCTGACAAATGTTGTGGTGAAAAGGCTATTTTTACTGTCATTTTTATTGCAATAGAGTCAATAATCGAGTGTTAAATTTCAAAGAAGCTATTAAATTAAATTATTATGTTATTGAGCTGTGCTTCGGCTATAGCATTTTGCAATCAGTTTTAGCAGAAAGGTTTACTAATAAAAATAAATAAGTATCTTGATTTTGATGATTATTACACACATTATTCACCTCTTTCTTTGCCATGTGTACATTCGAAATATCTGATTGTATGTTGGTTTGTGCTCGAGGGTATATTGTTATTATATGCTGTTATTCTATATACATTTGTGAATGTCACCGACTTGAGGGTTATCATCAAATTGCGTTAACGCGGCGGCAAAGGGTTGTGATATGTTTTTAAAAAGTTTCAACATAGTGAGATAATTTGGTGGTATTGTATAATAGACCAAATGCAAAAAATAAGGTACTGTGTTCGGATGTTTCTATTTTTCCTCATTTTATATGGTACAATGTTCTGTATTCTTACCGTAAGACTGTACCTACTGATAATAAGCTCCATTATAAAATGCCTCTAAAAACTTCTATGTTGACACTAAATAATGGGAGCCATCACATTTTGTGTTTATTTGAGATTTGTATCACAACACAACTCACTCATTACTTGCATATCTCTGTACCGTAAAATGGGGTAGATAGGTATCGATCCTTATTCACCCCATATTACCATTACCTTGTTATGATGTCATTATTATACATAAAATTGTATGTATTACTTAGACTAGTAGTCTAACTATGTGCATGTATAATATTCACATAGTTTAGATATTACAGAATTAAATTAAACATCGTCATACTATTCATAACTATAGAAAATTAATTAATTTTTAATTTTTCCTACACAATCATTTTCAACCACATACATTGCCTGCACAAAATATCATAAAAGGTGAAAACATTAAAAAAGATCCACTACATAGTACACATTGAGGATACGAATGTCAATGATGATCAATAATTTTATTACTATGACAATATATTGGTATTTTAGTCTTGTCTTGTTTTAAGCGAAAATATATCTTAGTAACAAACTCTTAACATTCAAAATTACACGTCATTGACCATTCCTCCTCACACATCAACATTCAACCACATTGGTGACGGTTTACTCTCACTCAAACTTTCACAACAACTAAAAACAACCTCTATCGTCCACAGAATAAGGTGCAGTCTCCGACGAACGCTGCTAACAACCCGTTCTTATCGTCTGCTCCTAGTCAGACACAGTCTATTGTGGACTTGTTCGGACCTGCTCCAGCTGATACAACCAGTACTACTAGCAAAGCTTCCGATGATCTGCTGTCTCTTGGAAACCCGTTCGCTGATAACATGTTTGGAGGTAAGTAAGAGTTAGATTAAGTATTCCACACACAAAAAAGAAATACAAGCGTTTAAAAGAAAAAATAAATATGGTTGCCTTGTTAAGTATAAGTTAAAAAACTAGAAGCTATTTTAATATAGTATAATAAAAAAAAAATACGAAAGAGATCTAAATCGAATAACAATAATAATGAATGATATTATCATTTGCTATTTCAATAGTAATATGTTTCAAAGATAGTCGTATAAAGTAAGTAATTTACTTACGATTAAATTTGTAAAAAAAAGGATATATTAGTAAGAATCTTTAGTTAAATTCAAACCTAATTTAGTAACAACAAAATCTATAGAAAACACTTAACTTACTAAATAGCTCACAATACTAAAACTATTGTAATTGACAATTAATACTGTACATTAATTAATTAATTTTCTTTCTAATTCATCATTATTTTAGTCGGACATTTTGAGGAGAAAATAGGCTACATTAAGCTATGTATGAAATATTTTCAAGCAAATATATTCAGGTTTAATGAAACATTTTTGATAGATGAAGAAAAAATCTTAGTAAAATATATTCACGATTGTAAATAATCTGGTGCTTGTAGATAGGAAAATTGGGTAAGCACTACACATAATTAGACCCTAGACCCTTCACACTGTATTATAAAAGCACATCCCTTAGCTTAACGGGGATGGTTGGAGCACTATACACTCTATTCACATACACCTAAAGTTGAAAGTGGTAAGTCGCCACAATAAACTGAATACCGATGCAGTACACAAACAAAAACTCGTAATAGCAGCCTATAAGACAGATTTCTACACTACAATTCTTATGTATGGGAAATCAGGCCAAAATTACTAGCTACAAAATAGAAAAAACTACCATTTTTTGGTAGTTATGTAGAAAAAATCTACCATTTTGGTAGTACTGCATTGTTATTAAGTGCGGCAACACTTTTAGCGGCGCCGGTGACGAGCACGCCGATGTGGCCCCAACAACAACAACAACAACAACAGCCGAGCAACGGCTTCGCGGCCTTCCCGCCTCAGCAACAGAACAACTCCTTTGTGTCCGAGGCTAACTTCTCTAACGTTTTCGATAACACTGATTCCGCAGGTGAGCTTCCACTAGTAGTCATTGTGCTGGGGCTACCGTGCTATTTGATTGTACTGATTTTATCCTATTTTGATAGAATCAAAGGAATTATAAATCTTGTCAGTCACAGTGTTAAGAAAGTAAAACAAAACGCACGGCAGCCCAAACCTTGCTTTAAATAAAAATCTATTTCTGGTGATGGGAATACTTTGTAAATTCTATATTATGTATATCTTGTTAAAATGTCAAATATTTCTTGTGCAAGCTGCCGCGGCTAATCCGTTCATGGGTATGGGAGACCTCACCCAACCAATATCCGCGTCACCCGCCCGTCCCCCTCCTCCCACCATTCCCCCACAACCCAAATCAGCGTTCGACGACCTTGAAGACGTGATGCGCATGTCTTTGGGCGGATCCCCGGCTAAGTCTCAGCAGCCAATTACACAACAGCCTCAACCAATGGCGGCGCAGCCTTTCAGTGACGTCATGTCAATGCCGATGGCTCAACCAATGATGTTCGGCTCGCCCGCCCGACAGCCCATGATGCCGATGGGAGCGACCGGTTCGATATTCAAACATTTAAATGGACCGTTTTTCATTGTTGTTTTTTTAATAGCTTGCAGAGTTGCCAGTTAAACAGCGTCGTGTGTGCTTTTTATTAATTTTTAATTCACAGGTATTTTATTAGTTTTTAGTTGTCCTTTGCACTGGTTGTGTCGCATTAATTTTGTAAATAAAGCCAGTGTTTTAGTTTTTATTTTATTTGTGTCATTATTGTTTGTTTCACACGTTCATTGTCGTAATCCTTGATTGAAATCTGATGACAGCATGAAATGAAAATCCATGATTTCTTCGTTTTAAACCAAACCAAATCATTTTCACTGCATTAATGCTATGCTGGAATCAAATGAAACACCGCATTGACTACCTAAATGTTCATATAGCTTACCTTTGTTTTACTCACGACTCCAAATCGACGTTTATTTCTCAGTACATTGTTTTGTGCTAGCTGTCATTACATCGAAAATAGACTTCTTTCCAACTGACTAAGGTTCATTACAGGTCAGCAACCACAGCAGCAACAAGGCAAGGTGTTGACTGGTGACTTGGACTCTTCACTCGCTCAGTTGGCCAACAACCTTACTATCAACAAGACGGCTACGGCACAAAAGTGAGTGGAAAACCTTCAAAAGAAAATAAATACAAATATTTTTTATTCCTACACTCATTGTCATGTGCTAAATAGTAGTTTAGTTAAGTTTCAGTCAAAAGTTTTTAATCAAATATGGAAGTAAGGGACTATCGTGTTTGCGCTCCCTAGATGGCAGCACTGGTGAACTTGGTGTTGTATCACTGTCGAATATCTAATTCTGTAAATGTACATAGATCGCTGAATTTAGTTTTGTCTGTAGGTGAGGCCAAATACTATATCTCTTACTTCACACAAGCCGCTTCACTTTCCAAGCTTGACACGACACAGTGCTCACGCAAAATACGCTCCAAATGCATTTATGTTAACACTGGACATTGGCTATACTACCCAAAAAACAAACGAAGTGCTAACTTGAAGCTTATTGACTGAAACTTATGCGTTAAATTCGAGTGAAGTAAAGTGAATATAGCTAGTTAAACGTCACGATATCTCTTCGGATATACCGTGATATAAGCACCTGTTTGTATATTTTAATTCTGTTTTAAAATGTATATTAGCTAGGTTGCCTTTCATTCGAATTACATTAGTATAAATGTTAATTCATATGGAAGGTAACTTGTTCTGAAAACGTTACTGTCCAATTCGACATAACTGTTTTCATGTAGTACGGTTAATCGCACTTAAGTAACAATACTTGGTTTGCAAAAATAAACCTTATTTTTAGAGGATAAAGTCTAAATACCCTTGTTATATCGTGCGATTGATCTTACGGCGCATGTAATCACACCATTCTGGTGTCGACTAGACCGATGCAGTGGAATTCGCCGAAGAACGCGTCGAAACCTGGACAGACGTGGACACCACAACCCATGCAAGCAACTACAGGCGCCGGGTACCGACCAATGGTAAGGCACACAGCTTGAACTCGTAGTAAACTTAGTTGGCAGAATTGTACACGACATATTCTCGCTTTTATAGAGTAAAATCTAGTAACACCCTGAAATTATCGAAGAACCCGGGGTGGCTAATTTTATTTGCACTATAATTTATTATTTTTTGTTACTGCTTAAGTTTGTTGGCAAATTCTGCTAAATACACTCCCTCAAACAAGCGTAATGGAGTGCACGATTCTGACAATAAAAACTCCATGTACAAAATTAAAAATGACTAAAATGTCAAAAATGGCGCCAAGTGTTCTCATAATGGCAACACTGAAACTAAACGTCAACTAAAAAGACTAAAGCGTCGCATTCAATGTTAAAATCAGTTAACAGCAGCAAGCAGCATTAGAGCAACTCCTGTGCAATTCTGTTGCTTTAAATGTCGCATCGTTATGCTAAAACCTTGTTTGCTTTTTAAGCTCGCTCTTTTATGTTCTTTCTTCCCGTAGCATGCCTTCCTTTTTGCGTTACAGGGCCCAGGCATGACACTCCCACCAATGCCCCATACTATGCCCCATGCATATCACCCCCCGCATTATATTATGGTAAGTTTGCTATTTATTTTTTGTTCCGTTTTTTTTTTGTTTTGCTTTAGCGTAGTACACGCGTAGTTTAGTTTTATTTTTAGTTGCGAGCGATGTCGAGTTGATTTGAAGACACTGTTTTGCTTGTGTCAAGTGGAGATGTCAGCTGAGATGAAACACAATTTCTTTTTATAGGATTTATTACTCCTTCTAGTGTTAATTTTTTTCTTCCAATTTCAGATCTTGGTTCATAGAGGTCAGAAATGTATTTTTAAAGTTTATAATCAACAAAATTTAACCTTTTTAAATCGTTGAACCAAGATCAGGAAACAACTAAAAATTGTCATAGTCTCTTCAGTTTGAAAGACCCTGCATGTATGAATTGGTTTGTATGATTGTATGAAACGTTTGCATGAATAGTGTTCATGTCACCTCATACATTTTCTGATGAATGTTAAGTGTTGTCATTCAGTGTGATTAATTTTGTATGAATGCTCAACTGTTTTCTTCTAAACCTTGATAATTTGGCCAAATCTTTCTAGCTACGTATTTCAAAGTGGAGTCACCTCCTAGTGTCTTACTTAAGGTTCTTTGTAGAGGTAGTTATCTTAACAATAAGATTTCCAACCCACAGCAACAGCCAGGCATGGTAATGGGCATGCAAGGAGCGCCAATGATGCCGATGGGCATGGCTCAACCGATGCGACCCGCCGTGCCACCGCAGCCTACCACCAACCAGTTCAGTTAAGCACCACCTTTATTATTTGAAGGTTTACGTTTATATCAAAACCCGACTGCTCATTGCACTTCATATAAAACCACAGGACACGCTACATACATAGCGATCCTATAGAATAAGAAGATGCCAGTCTTATATAAACTCTAATAAATTCAATGTAATAGCAAAAAAGTATTCCTCTAATTAGTCAAATTTATCCAAGTATAGTTTTATTATTATTATAATAGGTTATTATTGGAATTGAAATTATGGTAGTTTTGTTTTTTTTTGAGCTCAATTTATTTGAATTTATTTTAACGAAGAAATTTAATGAATGTTCTAGTTTTTAAGTCTTGTTACTCAAGCTAATATAATAATTATACATTTTATTTGTTAATTACTTCTTTGAATTTCTTCATGTGTTCTTCTTTAAGTTTAAAATGCTTGATTCATTCAAGTGATACGGTGTATAGCAGTCGGGTTATCTATGTCATGTCAGCTGACGTGTGATCGGTAGGTTCTACCTTATAAGTGCACCGTTTAGTTGCGAATTTTAAACGGAACTTACGCCCTTAACATACGTTCATTATGAGTTTAGGATTGCCAGTCGAAAAAACTAGTTGTTTTCAAAGTTACCTGTATTTAATAGTTTGTTGGGGAAAACGATCGAATGGAATTACAGATACTTGAATTAAATAAAACTCTTCTTTATCGATTGTATACTTAATTCATTTTGAATTGAGACAAAATTATTGCAATTTTTATTAATTTTGTTGAAACCAAACGTTTATGATTATAACATTATGAATACTTAGTTTTGAGTAGAAACCGATATGATTATGTATATTAATTGATTATTTCGATGATTTCTTATGTTTTTTTTTTATTCAATAAACTTTGCGTTATTTGACTTATGAATCATGAAATGTCTTATGAAAAAGGTGCGCAAGATTTTTTATTTTCAAAATTATACACATCACATTCCATACTTGTACAAAGTGAAAAATAAAATAATTTATTATGAGGTACTCGTTAACTTAGCTTATTACCTACCTTTGGCATAGTCAGTATTTATGAATTGGAATTGAAGTGAGTTCTAGTTTCTTTTTGTAATATTTTTCCAGTGTTGGGCTGAAAGCGTAATATTTACTTTCAGCAACGGATGCATAAATAAAGTTAATGAAATCATATAGTTATACTGGGTAGACGTCACATAGACACCCTTAATAATATTATTCTGTAACTTGATCCGTATATTATGTGTATAAAAATAAATAATTGCATATTTAGTCATATATTAAGCCTACGTGGTTTGAACGGAATGTAATTTTTACTCCAACCTCCATTGTTTGGGTAAAAATACGATTCAAAGTTCAATAATACATATTTCCATATCCTCCAGTTATGTAAAAACTGTATTTGTCATATAGAATATTATGTATAGAGGGTTATGCATTAGATTGTTATAACATTAGATGTTACGGGTGTATATTATAAATGTATGGCTGTTGTGAATATATGAACTAGGTGCTTGCTATATTAGGCCCCATTGCACAATCCATTGGTAATGCAAAATTTTCACAATTTGAAAAAAATCTAAAAATGTAACGGTGATGTTAATGGGTCCCAAAATTCGCCACGGACAATCGGTTAACGTCCTAAATTGAAGCTCGGTTTGCGCTAAAATTTGGAATTTCATGGTTACGCAAAATTATGGACTTAACAAATTGGATATTGCCAAATATATTGGAATGTAAGTCTACGCCCTATCTTTATATAGTCTTAACAGTTACTAGCAATACTTTGTACAAATGTGTTAATTAAAGAAAAGAAAAACCGTTCGCTTCTTGTGATATTTCATTTCTAAAGACTGCAATCCAATATTTCGAAGTATTAAAGTATGCTTTATTTTTATGAATGTTTTCTTAAATCCATCGTTTGGACAAAGTATTGTATAAACGTTGCCATCGTTAACTCGTTCATAATAAAAAAAAATACAAAATTGTACGGAACACCCGTGGTTTTCGTATGGCAACACTGTCAATGTTGCTGCACTATAATCAGTGTTACTTATAATATAATATATATTCACAGGTACATGTAGATGTATAAACATGATAATTATGTATTTAGAATAAACGCAAAAATAATGTTTGCCGTGTGATTCAATGGTGTATGTAAATATAGGTGTTGCATAGTACACAGTGCTAATTAAACCCCTTACCTTACTTCAGCTAGCTTTCCACAAAGGCCAGTGACCGTCTATAATTTGTTACTGCTTGTTTGATGTTCAGTTGTACTGCTAAAGTCAGGTGGTACAGCACTTATTGTAAGAATGTCTTCATCCTAGTTTTCTTGCACCTGGTTTTGGTAGTATTTCGCAGTCCGGGCTGGCTTTCTATACGTGTTTTAGTGAGCAATGATAATGCTAAATGTTAGGCTAATTTGATTATCCAAATTAATGATATAATCATTTGCAATATGTTTGAGATCTGTGAATTATTTCATCGCTTGAAATGATTGATAATATTTTGTGCAATATTTTTCTTTTAAAATTTTATACATGGCAACTCTGATGTTGGTATAGTCTGTTATTCGTTAATGTGTACTTCAATTTTTAGAAAAAATCTGCAGTTTGCTTAAGCACATTAACAGCAGAATGTTCATATAATTTACAAGTATTATGATTTGAATATATTGACAAAGAAAGTCCAGTGGTTTGTAGAGGTGTTCAGTTGGCCATACTTTACTTCTTAAATGGATGCTGTGATGTCAGGTGGATTCGACTGACTTATTTGAAATAGGTGGGATTCGCTCTTAGTTAACACTATAAGTTTCTTTTTATAAGAGAATACTAGTTAAACCACATTTTTGAATTAGTTTTAGTACTCATAGCGGCCTTTAAAATTTTTAAGTTGTAAATTTTATTCATTTATTTTTATCAATGTACCTACTGAGTTACGTTTTTATGTAAATACCCCCTTCTATGTTATTTACTAGCTCTGTCTTTAGATATTCAATTTAGTTTATTTATGAAAAGTAATAAATAAATCAATTAATATTATGTTTTTTGTTTTTTATTTTGTTTACTCCTTTATTTTTTTTAACCCAAGGGTCCAGATTGAGACTATCCAAAATAATGGAGATATAAGTTCAAAAAGTCATAGAATTTTCTTTATAATAGAATAGATCGGTTATCAATAGATGGAAGAATATATTTGTCTATGTACTAGAATATTGCGTGTCTATTTACCTCTTACTCCTATGACAATACAATAAAATATGTAATGGCCTGTATGTGTTTAAGAGTGGGTCTGTCCTAGAGAGATATGCTTGAAGCTTTGTCACTGTCCGCAGTACTACACGCGCATTTCTAGGACAGTCCAGTATTATGGTGAACCTAGTCGTATATTCAAGATCACAGTATTAAAGTAGCACTTCATAGGTGTCTATCGGAAGTTATGTATAGCTGTTAAAAACAATTAGCTCGGTAATCTACAATCACTTTTTAATTACTAAAAACAATTTCCAACTCTATCACTATCGCCATAAGTGCAAAAAATTAATGAAAAAAAGTAAATTAAAACCATGATTCAATAGTTTTGATGAATGTATACGAATGTTTTTAGTAATTACAAAAGTGATGTATCGGAAAATATATTTTTGTTAGGAGTGAAGTGTTCTTTCTCGTACGAACAATAATTTATTGTAACTTCTAAAGCTTTTGAAAGTTGTGTACTTATCTTGTTGAATCTCAAATAGTGGGGCGATTGATCTATCTATAAACACAATAAATTAATAAAAGTTATCCACTGGTGTTTCATTTATCCTTTTTCTTAGTAAAAACCACCCCGTTCCTACTCATGTACTTTGAGCCGGAGCCCCGGTAACACGTTAGGTTCTCCTGGTAACCCGCGGCTCTGGACGTGTAGGTCTAAGGGCAGACATTTGTTCAACAACAGACGTCTTCTGGCTGATAATGTTGATGGAAAATAAGAGTAATAGAATACAGTCAAGTTTGTAATGAAGACCATATAAGATCTCGAGTAAATGAAAGTATGGAATGTCTTGAATTGAAATATCTTTATAGCAACTTGTTAGTGGATGTGACATAGTCTGACCCCGGGTTCGAATCCCAGGTCAGAATTTTAATTCTTAGAAATATGTAGCAAATTAGATAATCAAAAGGAAATAATGAAGATCGATTCATGGATCAGCCAAAAGAACAAGCAACATACGGATCTGGGTACTTACTCTTGACACCAATGTCAATATAATTGCAATCCAATGAAAACCCAATAATTATTCAATGTCAAAACTAAACAACCCCTATCGTAGCTGTTAAAATAGCATTCAGAGTACGGAATATGAAGTTAAACTCACTTAGTTCATTAAATATCCGCGCAATACGACGCTAGTGTTGCAACTCAAGAGTACGATACTAATGTCGATCGATCGGAATTGGATTCAAGAGTAAGCCCCCTGGAACTAAGCCTTGATTTACAGTATCAAGTTTGAATGGGAGTACCTACCTACCGTATGGAAAATGAGTCGCAAATAAATAAAAAAGTCTCAGTTACCTCCTACCTATAGAGATGGGCCTTTTTGACAAACAAAATACCTATCTATGTACATACACAAGAGAAATGATAATTTAAGAAATTAATTTTTATATAAATTTGCAATTCACTCTTTTTATTCGAGGTTTATCCAATGTGGCAATAAACTTACCCCCTATCGAAGTAGTGATCCGTAACAACTGATAGAAGCTGGTATTACACTGAACCTATGCACTGAACTAAGACTGCACTTGTACATTTCTAATTGTTACCTCTTACCATCAAAGATTTAAAAATGTGACGTTTTATTAGGTATTTGAATAAGAAATTACGGTGAATGCAGTATGCAGTTACAAATTATTTTAAACAAGGAATTAAAATCGTATTTGGAGCTCTGCTCTGATTCAAAGTGTTATGGAGAAAATGTTGCTGGGAATGAGATCTTGTTTGAATTAATGAAATCGTTATTATAAAATCCACTTGGTTACTATTATAATGAAAGTTTGTTTGGGTACCAAGAAAATAAAAAAAAACAATAAGAACTCAAAAGTCAAAATTGAACGCACTGTTATGAGCACTATGAGAACGCAGCCATACTATTTCATTTTTTAGTGCAAGCAACACAAAATTAATCGATGACAGCGACGGATTTTCCCTTGGAAGTCGCTGACGACATTTTGTCAATAAATTGTAAAATTCAATAAGATTTTTTAAAGTTTTGGTAGTGTATAGTGTTAAATAAGCCACTAAGATGGCAGATAATGAACAGAAAGCTATACAATTAATGGCCGAGGCGGAGAAGAAGCTGAGTTCTTCAAAAACTTTCTTTGGATCACTTTTCGGGTGAGGACAATGAGTTTTCTAATTATATTGTTGATATTGGCACAATTACGACTTAACTGGTTTCATTACAGCCTTATATAGGCCTGCATTAGTTATTATTGTGTAATTAACGCATTTAAAATTCGTTATAATGTAATATTTTAGCAAAAATCTAATTTCATTGTGGTACACTCTGAGTGTCTACATTTTCTAATGAAAGTATAATGTTGACGTGAATTATATTCGCAATTTTGCACGGTAATATTATTGTATAAAGTATTAACAATATAATAAATATGGACTAAGTCCTTTGAAATGTGTATAATTAATCTGTTTGAACATGATAAAATATGATAAACTTACCATGATTCACTATCATAATATGAGATTGCTTTTAGAAAAATACACATGTAATCTTAAAGTTATGAACTGCATCCTTTAGTGCTTACTTATCAAGTATTTGTTCCATGTGTAACATGAATAAATACAATAAAACTATAATGAATGCAAAATTCTCAAGATTATAATGCCATGAGAATGAAATCAGCTGATGTGGACTAACTGTAAATGTATTAAACAAGTTTAAACCTTATTACTTTTCATTTGTGCTCATTTTCAATACTTCACTACTGAGTAATAATTAAGGAAAATCCTATATTGTGAGGATAAAATAGAAAGTTAATAGAAACATAGTGAATTCCAAGACCGACTTCACATCATATAATATTTAAATTATTTATATTAAAAATAGAAACCAGTTTCAAAGTCACATCACAAAAAATATTATAATATAAAATTATTTTAAGTTACAAATAACTAATTATTACTTTACAATCGATCAACAATTCAACTAATCTCTGGATCTGGAACACACTTGCAACCATTGGGATCATTCCTATTGGTTTTCAATATTGTTCATCCAATATTAGATAGTATCTTATCATTATTTAACATTCTATCTATGACTATGACTAAGTTTTTGCAAATATCTGTGTTTTGTTAAAGTTACACATTAGGGACTGGTGACTTATGCATGATGTCATATTATTTACTATTATATTCACATACAAAAGTTCTATCTTTAATACAGACTCATATCGCAATCAGTTTTGCGGTTTGACTGTAAATGTGTCACACCCTGCACAATCCGGGAATATCTGGGAATAAAATTTATATTAGAATAAATTTTTATGAACTACAGAGTTCATAAAAATTTCAATAGTAGTGTTATTCCCAATTCAAAGTCAAAGTCAAAGTCAAAATCATTTATTTCAATTAGGCCAGAATGGCACTTTTGAACGTCAACAAAAACAAAAATTTAAGTGAAGCTATTTGCTCATTCCAAGGCGTAGATTCCTATGGAGAAGAACGAGCAAGAAACTCCATAGGTTACTCTTTTTCAATCAGGTTCACAATACAATTTACTAGTTACATAGTTTTGCTGTTTGGATTGTGCGAGAACAATGTAACACTAAAATCCAGTCAAAGTGATCAAAAAAGAAAATAACCTTAAGGACAGTAATACAGTCTGGAGCTGACCAGTCCCAGTTGACGGCGCCCGTTCACGAACATGACACGTACACCAGCACCGCCCAACTCAACCATATTGTAGGGAATCGAGCGATCCACTGCACGCGCCACCGCCAATGAGACCTTTGAGTGAGCATGACAACTCCAAGCTGACACAAATGAAATCTACTAATCTAATTTAATATTAAGTTAATTACAGGGCTCTCACATTTACAATGGTTATCTAAGTTAAACAATATACAATTTAGCAATATGGCTGTATTATTTACGATTTCATTACAACAAGTGTTTTTAGTTATCCTGCGGAGCCGGACTAGCCTGCATCCAAGCATTTTTATCCTCTATATATTCATTGAGTTTGTAATATGCTTGTCTACATAAAGTTTTCTTTATACATAATTTAAATTTCGATTCATTTAGTTGTTGTACATCGCCTGGTATCTTATTATAACATTTAACACAGAATCCCATGAACGACTTACTTACTTTCGCTAATCTCGAAATTGGCTGACTTAATCTATTCTTATGTCTAGTTTGATAGTGGTGTCTGTCCGACACTTTACCAAATAACTGTAGGTTTTTCCTAACATACATAATGTTTTCATAAATAAATTGACATGGAACGGTCATAATGTTGATCTCCTTAAACCTTTCTCTGAGTGATTCGCGACGACCTAGATTGTAGATAGCTCTGACGGCGCGCTTTTGTAAGATAAAGATAGATTCAATGTCAGCAGCGTGTCCCCACAGCAAGATGCCATACGACATAATGCTATGAAAGTAACTGAAATACACTAGTCTTGCCGTGTCTATGTCAGTTAACTGTCGTATCTTCCAGACAGCATAAGCTGCAGAGCTCAATCGTCCCGCTAATAATTTAAATATAACTCTATGCTTAATATTTAGTTTCTGCTAGAAAAATAGTAGAATGTATAAAATAATCTTGACCAGACTCGTTGGCCGAGTAGCCGCAAGTGTGACTGCCGGGGGGCCTCGGGTTCGATTCCTGGGTGGGGCAAAGTATAACTGGGTTTTAAAAAAAATCTCAGTAGTCGCACAGAGTCTGGAAATATGCTTGGTATATGGCAATAGGCTCACCCCCTATTACATGGGACTCATAACATAAATAGTGAACAGTGAGTGTTACTTCTGTGTGCACCTCTGCCTACCCCTTCAGGGATAAAAGGCTTGTTATGTTATGTGTGTGTGTATAAAATAAATATTTAATACATTAATATGTATGTAGACATATTAGGCCCCAAAATAAATTATGTAATATGTATATTGTGTGTTTATGTTAAAAAACAAACCTTGAAACTGAATTCAATAAGTATGTGTTTACACTTTGTTACTTAGTACATTATGTGCTAACTGTATTAATTAATGTCTGTTCGATGGAATCTTATGAAATGTTGTTTATCAGAAATGAAGTTTAGTCCCGATTATAGAAGATTCTTTTTCTAAAAAATTTGACTATTATTAAAATCATATTTTAAATATAGTAGTCATGAACAAGTTGTCATTGATATCTATATCATCAAGACCAGCTGTTTTACCAACATTGATCAAAATATCTTAATTCAATCAATGCTACTTTTGGTTTGATGGAAATTATAATATATTTTGTTTATTTATGGTAAGGTGGAAACTCTCCTTACCCTGGAGAGACCAAATGTAACTGTCGAACTTTTACTGGTTAGAACCAGCCCTTAGTCCAGTACAACAACCAACCTTCTTCACAGTGGTTCATCGAAGGTTGAAGAGGCAGTGGACTGCTACCTTCGGGCGGCTAACCTGTTCAAAATGGCGAAGAAATGGGCGCAGGCTGGGCAGGCGTTCTGCGCCGCTGCCAACCTCCACCTGAAGGCAGGCGTCCGTCACGACGCAGCCACCAACTATGTCGACGCCTCAAATTGTTACAAGAAGTGTGACCCTAACGGTAAGTTACATTTTTATAGTGCTTATTTAATTTAGTAGCCATAGCTTCAGGACCACAGAAATATTATTACATCTGTGTTCAAAGGCCTTAGTTTCTTTTTCGTTTAAAGTAATTGAACCGAAACCTCGTCCGGCGCTCTGATTGGTTGGTTCATTGGAGCCGGCCAATCACAGCGCCGAACGCTTACTCGTTTCGATTATTTTCAACGTAAAACAAACTTGTACTAAGCCCTCACTCAGGACGTATGGGCCGGCTCAACAAATATTTAAGAAAATTAGCGTGAAATAATGCAAGCGTGGTTTCACGTGTGCGAGTGAGGTTACCAGAGACCCAGTTTACAATTTTTAGATTAGACGAAATTAAGTAATTACCGTTGAGGCTCGCCCACTCTAAACAATCACTAGAAAATTTTATTATAAACAATGTTTTACAGAAATTAACTTGAAAAGAAATATCGAATAAAAAAGCTTAGAGTATTTTTGGTTAAATACTCTAAGAAAAAAGGTGACAGAGTCGTTGGACCTGTCACTTACCAGACGACCTTTGAAAGGAGAGAATATTGATTATGAAATCAGAAATTCTGTTTTCAAACAAAGAGATCTGTACCAGACTGCTTTAACCTTTTTTAAATATTATTCTATCTTTTTTAGAGTCATTAAACCACACAATATCACCTTCAGGAAGTCAGTTCACCCAACCAAGACGTTTACATACCTACTAATAGCCCAATGACATTGCAAAAAAACCGTTTTGTTAAAACTAGTGTTTGAAAGGGCCATTGAGTCAGTGATAAATTAACATTGTGTCGTACCTATTTGTAAAGGTCTGTAGTTTACATATTCGATGATTCGAGTTAAATATAAAATTGTTTCGAGGTTATCACACTGTTATCATAACGCAGTACTTACACCAATGACTGTTGAACAGTTTACCTAAGTTCGTAGAGCGCAATTTTATATTTTTAGTCATCGGAATTTTAGCCTGGACTGCTTCGGTGGCCGAGTGGTCGACATTACTGGGTTTTTTAAAAAAACTCAGTAGTAGCACGGTAGCACGGATTCTGGAACTGTGTTCGGTATATGGCAATAGGCTCACCCCCTATTACATGGGATCTAAACATAAATAGTGAAAACTGGGTGTTACATTGTACAGTGGCATAAAGTGCACCCTACCCCTTCGGGGATAAAAGGCGTGATGTTATGTTATGTTACGGAATTTTAACAACAAATAATGAATAAACATGTTTTCCGTTAAGTCTACGTGCTGGCTGTTATAATTACGTCAATCAGTCATTATCATACATATGTGTTAATTGTAATTAACTAACATCACTCTCCCTCATCAATGGTCGCTATTTTCGGTCCAAAGTAACTAATTCGGATCCAGATGGATAACCGATACGCAAATTGTGAAATTGTGTTTCACATTGGTACGTATTGGGTTCAACAACCGTAAACGGGTATGATAATATAATATACTTAGCTGTTAACCGCAACTTTTTCCGCGTGATCTAAGGTAAAATAAACCTATGTCATTCTGCAGCCACCTTATTGTCTCCAGAGATAAAACTGATACCTACCACATAAAAACTCCATTGCGACGTAAAGAAAGGCAATGAAATCTAAAATATCCTTACTAATATTATTATAAATTGGAAAGTGAGTTTGTTTGTTTGTCTGTTTGTTCCGCTTTCACGCCATAACTACTAAACAGATTGCTTTGAATTTTTACAGACGTAAAGTTAGAAGTCCGGATTAAATAATAGGGTACTTTTTATCCCGGAAAAATGTGATATTCCCGAGGGAAAACAAAAGTATTAGTATAGATGGCGGTGTGTGTATTGGTATATGTCACATTGGCTTTTATCCTTTTGTGACGCGAGCGAAGCCGCGGGTAAAAGCTAGTAATCCATAAGAGGTGGACAGGCGCTGGTCTTCATCATAAGCCGTAAGACTTATTGTTGAACAAATGTCTCCCAAATGAGAGGAAGGCTCAGGCTATGCCATAAACATTAGTTCACATTTGTGTAGTACGAATTGGAGATCAAAGTTAGGCCTCCCGAGAACAGAGTGTGCTCCTATCAAGCTGTCGGTGGCTGGTTGCTGTATAAGGATATATCCAGTTTTAGAACATGAAACACCAAGCTTGTTGCACTGTTCTCACACAATCGAACCAACAAAACTATGTAACTAGAGAATTGTATTGTAAACCCGATTGAAAAAGAGTAACCTATGGAGTTTCTTGCTCGTTCTTCTCCATAGGAATCTACACCTTGGAATGAGCAACTAGCTTCACTTCTGAATTTTTTTGTTGTTGACGTTTAAAAGTGCCTTTCTGGTCTAATTGAAATAAATGATTTTGACTTTGACTTTGGAATATTCTATCAGACAGTTCACAGTTTGTACTCTCAACCAATTTACCATACAGGAGTTAATACTTTTTTATTTAGGTACATTTTTAGGTCGTATGTTAACTTTGTCACTTGTACGGCAATTGTTACTTATGGCTTTTGGATGTCTGTTGTCTGGTCAGAAGGGCGTAACGACTTAACGACCTGTGGTGTCGATAATGTGTTTTTATTTGTTTGCAAAAAATTGGCACGTATTATTGGCAGCAATATTTTATTTGGATGGATGTACTAAATCTCAGGAGTTTGATTGACGTCTGAAATTGTGAACGTGTTTGGTAATACGAGTCATCAACAGCCTATAAATGCCCACTGCTGAGCAAAGCCTCTTCTCACACGGAGAAGGTTTGAGCATTAATCACCACGCTTGCTCAATGCGGGTTGGCGATTACAAACTTATAATTAGAATTAGATTATAATCCCGGGTTTGCTCACGATGTTTTCCTTCACCGTTAGTCAGTGGTGTCTAAATAATCTTAGAAAGTACATATAACTCGGAAAAAGCCACATTGGTACTTGCCGTTGGTAGGTTTCGAACCCGCATTCTTATGCATGAGAAGCCAGCGTCTTAAACCACCGGGCCACCACGACCCTCCGGGCCACCACGAGTAATACGAGTAGATTAGCTTTATTTATATAGGTACAAGAACTTCGTCTTTAATTTTACGAGGGAATCTTAACAGTAGTGAAAACGCAATGTGTAAAAATGCGCCGCACCTACACTTTCAAAATTTTTCGTACGATTTGGCTAGATTCTTGATTGGTTAAGATACTCAATATCACTATCACTACATAGTATAAAACATAGTCGCTATTCACCGTCTGTCTGTCCCTATGTATGCTTAGATCTTTATAACTACGCAACGGATTTTGATGCGGTTTTAAATAGATAGAGTGATTCTTAAGAAAGGTTTATATGTATGTATAATACACGTTTATTGCACCCGTGCGAAGCCGGGTCGGTTCGCTAGTTGTCAATAAGAGCCAATGCAACCAGTTTTAACTTCCATCACGTTTTCAGCATTTCTTTAGCTTCCATGGCATTGATGAAAATATATAGTACTTATAAATAAATAATTGCCTATATCGATACGGTATCATTAACATGTTGTTAACATACATATGTGTACAACATATACAGTAGTCGGGCGGTCGCGTAGCGTGATAAGATATTGATCACGTTTAAAGTAGCACGCTTTGTAGGCTCCACTGTATTTTATACAGTTTTTACACTGCATTTTGCTGTTAAAATTGGTGTTATAAGTATATGAAAGCCTGTTGCTGCTAACGAATAACAAATAGGTACGAAAAATACGGTTTGATATGACAACTCCACAGACCTCATAGCAACACTCCTTATTTGAATGTAAGGATATGCGGCATTTAGGTCACCAAATGGTGAATGGGCGCCCTAAATGCTTTATTGAGCTATGAAGGCATTAAATGTATCCCTAATATGTTTCCTTCAAAGAGTTTGAGATGAGAGAAAGAGAAATATTGCCTAAGTAATAGTGTAAGGATAAAAGTCAGTTTGTTGAATGAAGTAGCAGACAGAACTGGACAAATGCAGGGAATGGGTCTTATCATGACAGTCTATATCAAGTACCTACTTTTTTTAAGGGGAGATATTTATCGAATGTCTTCTCCCGCCTGGGTGAGGCGGGAAGGAGAGTCAGACTCTTACTGACTAAAAACCACCCCGTTCCTTCTCCTGCACGTCGAGCCGGAGCCCCGGTTACCCGTTAGGTTCTCCGCGACTCCGAATCGGCATCGGCCCTATTGGGCCCCATCTGTGGTGGTCTGATGGCTCTTTGAGGCGCGCGCGGAACGCGACGCGCCGTACGCTCGGGTCTGTTTCTGGTCGGACGGGGAGCCACCCATGCTCGCCGTCCGCAGGCCCGCGCTTACGGTGGCCGGAGATCGTCCCGCGATCCCCGACGCCCGGTGTGTCCTTCGCGATGGCTGGGTCGCGAGGAGGCAGCGCTTCGCTGCCTCACGCGTCCCGCCTCCTCCTTAGCTAGCATGACTGCTTCGCAAAAGGAGGAGACGGCATCCCAGTCCCCCTCGCTCCGCATCATGGCCTGCACTAGGCCCGGACGCGAGAGGTCGCCATCGCCGATCACTTCCCTGAGGGCACGGCGGTGCTCAGCCCACGCAGGGCATTCCGCTACGGTGTGTTCCACCGTGTCCTCAGGGCGGTCCTCGCAGTGATGACACCCGGGCGTTTCCTCCCGCCCCATCAGACACAGGTACCTCCCGAAACTTCCATGTCCGGTGAGGACCTGCGTCAGGCGGTAGGTGAGGACGCCGTAGCGTCTCTCAAGCCACTCCTCAAAGAGGGGACTTACCGCTGCAATGGCAGCGAGCCCAGCCCTCGGTTGCGACAGTCGTTGCTGCCATTCCGCCATGAGATCGCGCCGGAGCTCATCCCGCCACGCACTTATCTGGCGCGGCAGCGTTTCGCCCCGGCGACGTGCCTCCGCGCGCATGTTATACACGCGCGCGAGCACCTTCGCCTCCAGATCCCACGGCGGTAATCCGGCAAGGAGGTTCGCCGACTCCCCAGCGATCGTGCGGTATCCGCGGATCATTC